GCCTAGGCATGGCCTGGGCTGCTACGTACGGTGCTAGCAGCCGAGGCCAGCGTCTTCTTTTCTTCCAAAGGCAACGGCCCCCCTACAAACTTGCGTGTTCGCTTTGCACAGGAACCCTCTCAGCCATGGCCACAGTTCATGTTGACGATATGCTCTTAGCTGGGGGGGAAGTGGCTGAACCAATTTGGAAAGAAATTCAACAGCGACTCACCTTTGGCAGTCAGTTGGGCTCCCATGAGCGCCGGTCTGAAGTTTTTGGGCCGACAATTGAAGCAAGACCACCTTTGAGATCAGCGCCTCCATGGCTGAATATTGCACTGACAATGCATTTGACCGCGGCGATCGGTTGCTGAGTGACACTGAGGTTGGGTTGCTGCGCTCCATCAACGGGAAACTTAGTTGGGCTGCCCGACAGAGTCGGATGTTCTTTTCTTGGTGTCGCTCCTGCAACAGAGCATGAAGCCCCGCAGGTGCGACGCTTGCGCATGGCCAACCAGGGGATCCGACAGTTGAAGAAGGATGTGCCTTTGAACTTTGTGCAACTGGGCTGCGCCTTAGATGAGATGCTTTTCGTGGTAGCCACGGACGGTGCCTACGGCGCGATGCCGGAGGGGAAATCCCAACAAGGTTGGCTAGTGGCTTTAGCGCATCCTCGAATCAAAGAAGGGCACAGTCGGATGAACCTGGTGGAGTGGACATGGCAGAGCTCGTCGTGCAACCGGTCGTCCGGTCATCCATGGCAATAGAAGCAAGCGCTGCTTCGATGGGGTATGAGCATGGTGAATATGTCCGCGCACTTTTCGGCGAGCTTGTTTGTGAGGACTTCCAAGTGCGCCGGTGGGGACACTTCGTGAAGAGGCGGGAGTTGCTTTGGTCCTGGACGCCAGGACTGCGTACGACACCTTACAGACCGAGAGCCTTCCTCAGGATCGCCGCACGGCGCTCGATTTGCTGGCGATCAAGAGAGTTTGTTGGATGAGAGCAACCGCTCTCTTTGCCGCTGGGTGCCGGGGCCGCAGCAGATTTCGGATAGCCTCACCAAGAAGAAGGACAACAAAGTCCTTTTGAACTTTCTGGAAACGAATGAGTGGAATCTTAAAGAAGATGAGGTGTGGCAGGCTCAGCGCGAGCGGCAGCGGCTGCATCAGAAGGCTTCGAAAGCCAATGTGAAGGCGCCTCAAAAAGGGGCCTTGGGGGTGAGTTGAAATGGCACTCATCCCATTCGTTTCTCATTTCACATAAGGTATGTCCGCGAAAAGGGACCGCACCCGTTTGCCACTTTAAGTTTCATCCAGCCTGCATGTGGTAGCTTCTGGTAGCTTGAGCTAGCTTCAGCTAGCCTATCATAATTTCCTATCTTAAGTGAAGAGGCCTGCTTTGAACCAGGCGCCCAGCGGTTCTTATCTCACGGGTTTCAAACCGCGCCCCTTTTCTTTTGATCAACAAAAGGGCTTCAAAGTGTATGTGGTCATGTACGGACCCTCAAGACAACTTCACAAGCGTGCACACTTTCCGCTCTCCCCTCCCAGTCGTGACTGAGATCTCTAAAGTGAGCACGTGGCACTGAAGAAAGACTCAAGCCCTTAAGATCCATTGGCCTTATGTCAAGTGCGATGTTCACACGAAAGGGCCAACAAAAATGCTCACAGGCCTTCACACCAGCCATCATGAAAAAACATTCCCCATTCGAATGCCTCAACGGCCGACAAACAGACCTGCTCTATATGCACCGACCCTCACTCAGATACCCACCCTCTAAGATCGTGACTTGAGGTAGCACATCGATCGATTCCCTCGTCGATTGTCAACCCTCACAAACTTCCGGCCGTCCTCCAGCCAGCCCACCGTGACCACCCCTGCAGTGATCCCATCGGCTCATGGGGGGAGCCAAACAGCTTCTTGCGCCAGCTCTCATGCCGGACGACCATGATCTCCAAGATGCCCTGCGTGACTTCATGATGATTTGTTGAATGAGAACCACGACTCAAGGGCCGATCCAGTTCCTCAATGAGATTCGCTGGCCACATCCATTGAAAGTCCTTCAGCTCCTGCCCCCTCAAACGATGAAGAAACTGAGGCAAGGACTCATCCAACGACAGCGATTTGACAACTGCTGGGCTTTCCAAGGAAGGAAACTGGTAGGTGTTCTTCTCCGACTCCTTGGACATGAACTTCTCCTCCGCGTTTCCCAGACCCACCCCTTGACAGAACCGACTCAAATGCAATCGGCCCACAACGATGTGCCCACCCGATGATCCAAGGTGAGCTCCCCCATCTTTAGAGCCTCGGTCAAGCAATGTGCACGAATCCTCAGGTGTCTTGTCCTCCAGCTGCCAACCGAACCCGACGACAGAACCACTGCCACACGGTTGTCGTTGTAGAGCTCAAGGTCCACCTTTTTCACAAGAAGCTCTACCAATGCCCTCACAGACCTCCCTGTCTGGGCCATCAGAGACTGCTTCTAGGATTCCCACTGTACATCCAGCCTGGTTCCCGAAATGCTATGGCCATCACCTGGAGAAAATGAGGCGTCC